AGAACAGTTTAGGGTCTTATTGCTCTTTAGCTGAGACATAACATTCATTACTCTTAAAATCAAGCTATTAAAGTTAAGATAAGTACATAAATTCATAAAATTTAAGGCTAACATTGTTATATTTACTACAGTGTTGATTGGCTTAAATAAAGTCCCTTTAAACCTTAAATGCTATTTTATGATCTTCATTGTCATTGAGACATCTTAGAGGTTAAAGTAAAGTTGAGGACTAGGGTGGAGGCTGGGCTGGAGATGTGAAGGGGGATAAGGTGAGGTTGTGGGCCAAGGAGAAGTTGTGAAAGAGGGTAAAGGAAGGTTGAAGACTAGGATGGAGGAGTTTTCTGTTAGATAAATCACTAAGGGAGATAATAGGATTCCTCATTTAAAGACTGAGCAATAAAAGCTTAAGTAAGAGAATAGAGTGATAAGATTTGGGTTCTCGTCCAGGCAGTAAAAGAACTTTAATAATTTTTAATTATGTTCTAGTACTGCCTTGTCTTATAATATTGATTTTGTTATAATTGCTTTTATTAATCAGCCAGTTGTAATATTATTTTTTGCTTTCTAGAGGAATTTCCTGTCTTGAGCAGTGCTTGCTCACCTGAGCCAGGCAGCACCTTATGAGGCTAAGGCAATCTGGTTGTAAGCTGATGGTTGCTTAGAATATTTTGATATTACAAAAAAGGGAGGTCATAACATAAGTTAGTGTGGGAATTCTGATTTTTCAGAGCACTTCGTCTCTATTTGGAATATGTCAGTCAATAGAGATTGCATAGCTCGTGTCAGGATTGTGAATAAGCTAATGTCTATATTCTGGAAGAAACAAGGAGGGATTAGAGAAAGCTATGAATACTGAAAAATGTAATTCCTGTCTCATCAAATGAATACTGTTTTTTAGAATTTGATGTATACATTTTATGGGTGCTAACAACTCTTTAGTGGTTTTTCTATTCAGAAAACAATCATCATTGGAGAAAAGCTATTAAGGTTGCACAGAGAGGCACCAGAGAAAGGGAAAACACATTTCGTTTCCAGTCCTGGAAAAAACCCAGGCAGACAGTGTCTACTGTATGAACCCAGGTCTGTTTCATACAGGAACTACTCTAAGAACAATGCTTTTGCTTAATCTGCTTTATTTGAATTTAGTGAAAATCCAGAACTCTCTTTGCTCCTGGACATCGTTAATCTCTGAAAGAAATGAGGTGTGTGTGTGGGGGGGGGGTGTCTTACACTATTAGTCTCTTAGGGAGGATGGGAGAGCACAGAATTATGACCTGTTGCACTTCTGAAAGGAAATTCAAAAATCAAGAAAAGAAAAAAAAAATGGGGAGTAGAATTATATGGGAAATCTGATATCCCTTGGGACTTACAAAGTTCATTCTAAATTTTCCTTAACAGTTATAAACTGCTTCTTTCCTACTGTGAGTATCCTAAACGTGAGACTACTTCCTTTTTATGTGCAGGTGGAGTATAGGAGACTCCTGGCTCCTGTGTTGCTCACTAAATGCATCTTGAGAAAAGGAAAGCTGGTGTCACCTGTTAGGAAATCTTCGAGTGGCTGATGTACTTTCAGGATAAAGTTTAAGTCCCTAGGCTTACACCAGGACTTCTGTCTGCCATTCAGCAGATATGTTCTGAACATCTGCTGTGCGCTAAGCACATTTTTAATAATATAATAGTTTATTTTTACAGCGTTTTGTACATTTTTTTTTTCATCTCAATTGTAATCCCTGTGGGCTTCCTATCACCAACACACCCATATGCCATCACCATAGTCCAGGCTAAGCACATTTTTTTTTAACTTATTATTTTTTTTTTACAAAGTTTATTTTTACATCATTTTGCACATTTTTTTTTCCATCTCGATTGTAATCCCCGCTGGTTTCCCATCACCAAATCACCCCTGTGCCACCACCATAGTCCCGTGCATTTCCCTCCCTTCTCCCCCCTCCTTTTTGATCCCATTCCCCACTCTGCCCTCACAGAATGTCTCTGGTATATGGTTGTTCATTATTTTTGTTATTTTCTTGCCTGGTCCATTATACTCCTGCTATGAGTGACACCATCCGGTATTTTTCTTTCTCTTTCTGGCTTACCTCACTAAGCATGATCTTTTCCAGCTCCATCCAAGTTGCTGCAAAAGACATGTGTTTCTCTTTTTTGGTTGCTGAGTAATATTCCATTGTATATATGTACCACATCTTTCTAATCCAGTCATCTACTTTTGGGCATTTGGGCTGCTTCCATGTTTTTCCAATTGTAAATAAAGCAGCAATAAACATGGGGGTACAAGTATCTTTTTCAATGAGTGTTTTTGTGTCTTTTGGGTAGATACCTAGGAGTGGGATTGCTGGGTCGTAGGGAAGCTCCATGTTTAGCAGTTTGAGGAACCTCCAAACAGTTTGCCATAGTGGTTGTACTAGTTTGCATTCCCACCAGCAGTGCAGGAGAGTTCCTTTTTCTCCACATCCTCGCCAACATTTTTAACTTATTTTTTAAATATTTATTTATTTATGCATACAGAGCTGGGGTACAAAGCAGAGGTGCAGGGGCGGGGAGAGGATTCACCAGAGACAGAGCGGGGAGCAGAACAGGCAGAACCGATGAAGTACACTGCTGAGAGGAGCAGCAGGTGGGCCAGGAGAGGTCTGCTGCACCATGTGGATCACCTCTGGGGTGGATGGGGATCGAACTCATGCTGAGGTGGCCTTAGCTTTAGAGCAGTGCTTTAACCCGCTGCGCCACCAGGGAGGGTGGTAAGCATATTTTTACAAAGGCAGGTGGAGACTTCTGGCGCTTGGTCCCCTTTTCTTTAACAAGAGGCCTTGCTGTAAGCCACTGGCCTCCATGTTGCCTTTTCTTGCCCTTTTCTCCATTTCTGGAATAATTTCCTATCTAACAGGTTCCACTCCTTCCTTCAGTCTATTTAAACCTTGCGAGTCCCTCTGCTTGCCAGGCCAGCTGATCTCCAGTTACCCTCACCCTCCTCACTGGCTGTGGCTGCTCATCTTTCTTCACCCCGGTTAAATTAGCGCATGTGTCTGGCCCAAAGATTCCAAGTGCAGAGGAGAAGACTGTTGTAGTCAAAAGAAAAAAAAAAAAGAACTGTGTTGTATGGTATGTGAATTTTAATTATACAACTATGTGGTATATTCTGCCTAGTACTTTACAAAGATTAGCCAATTAATTTAGAGGAAGTAGAAAACTAAATTTTCCCTTTGCTGAAATTGATAGTGTTCCCTCAATTGGGATGTTCATTTTAAGGCTCTGATGTGTTTTAAAGACTATAAGTGGGCCCTGGTAGTGTAACAGGTGGTCCCTACGAAAATGGAAGTTCCACGTTCCCTGCCCCACCCAGAAGGAGGGTGGAGCTGAGAGAGAAAAAGGAGAGAAGGAATGAGAAGGAAGAAGAAGAGAATGAAGCTGGATGGAGAACAAGGAGGAGACCTGAGGAAGCCACATGGAGCAGCAAGTATGTGAGGAAGACACCGGGCTTGTTTCCTGACCCTGGACTGGTTAAGGCGGATGTGGGTGAGACACCTGTAGGCAGGTGACTATGGCAGTGTTTATATTGATTTTGATTTTGCTCTTTCCCTCCCAGACTGGTCTGGCCATTTCTGACCCTTTTCCATGGGTCCCGGCCGGAAGGTACTTTAGTCTTGTGGCAGCTTTCAGGCCTTGCTTTGGGCCAATCCCTTTTGGGTTGACTTTTGCCCACGAGTCGATGGGTCACTTCAGGTGTTTGATTTAGAAGTTATATTCTTTGTGTTCTGTATTGTATATTTACTGTATTAAAGTCCCTTTTCATTGAAGTTTTATATGTTTTGTCTTGTTGCGGCGGATGGCAGAACCCACTTAGAACAGGCAGGTTTGGGGGCCTTAGGGGTGCCCTTCTCCCCCTGTCCTCTAACAGAATTGGGGTGCCCTATAACAGTAGTGAAACGAGTTAAAGTGCAGCACTGTGAAGCTCTGAAGCCACTGCAGCACGAGTTCTATACCTGGCCAGGGAGCTGACCCACATGGCGCAGCAGACCTCTCCCATCTTGTCCCCTGCTCCCCTCAGCAGTGTATTTCAGTAGATTCACCTGTTCTGTTCCCCACTCTGTCTCAGGTGAATCCTCTCACCCCCCACCTCCACACTTCTGGCCTGTACCCCAGCTCTTGTATGCATGAATAAACAAATCTTTTTTAAAAATCCCTTCAGAATTCCATCTGTGAGACCTCTGCTCCCTTAAATTAAGCATGTGAGTGTGCATGTGTGCGTGCGTGTGTGTGTATATAATTCTGACATCCACTAATGGATGCAAATATGTATGGACAAATATGAGAAGTGGAATGTTTCTATAGTCTCAAAGTATTTCCCCTGAAATAGCTACTAGTTATAATTATATTAACTGCATATATTATGTAATAAATTATTTATATTCTATTATATTCTATCTTTCTATATTCACTCTATATTCTATCTATCTCTACATATTCTCTCTTTGTGTATATAGATATTCTGGTTATATCTAAACATCATTGGAGATATCTGCAGACACCACTTTAACTAAGTGATCAAGATTAATATTACTAGTGATAAAACGTCAACATCCTGAAACTCTTGCTGTTGTATTCTGAGGACACAATGTTTCACTGTTCTGAAAACAGGAAAGACTGAGGAACAGGAGTCATGGGAGATTAAGATTTAGAAATAACAACAAATGTATTGCCGACAACCGGATAAGATCTAAGAACAGAAAAAGAACATTAGTGGAAAAACTTGAAATTCGAATAAAGTCTGCAGTTGAGTTGTCACTGGGTCTAGTAATTTTACTGTGATTATACAAGATGTTAGCATTAGGGAAAGTTGGGTGAAGAGAAGAGTATATGCTGAAATTAATTCAGAATAAAGAATGTATAAGTAAAGGGAAGTAAAACATAATCTAAGATACACAAAAAACAAGCATTTAATGAAAATAAGTGATCCTTTGGTCCTTCTTTTTGTAACTTCACAGCAGAGCGGCTTTCGAACAGCTGGCTGGATGTTCGTCACATTGAAAAATATGTAGAGCAAGGGAAAAGTGGGACAAGAGAATTACTTTGGTCCTGGGCACAGCAAAACAAGACCATTGGGGACCTGCTACAGATTCTTCAGGAGATGGGGCATCAGCGAGCTATCCAGTTAATTATAAACCATGGTGAGTACTTAATTTTTGTTGTGGCCCTCAGTTCATTTGATAGAATTTGTAATTTTTTTAAAGATTTATTTATTTATGCATACAGAGCTGGGGTACAGGCCAGAGGTACAGGAGCAGTGAGAGGATTCACCAGAGACAGAGTGGGGAGCAGAACAGGCAGATCGACAGAGTACACTGCTGAGGGGAGCAGCGGGCAGGTCAGGAGAGGTCTGCCAGTCATGTGGGTCACCTCCAGGGTGGGGATCAAACTCATGCGGAAGTGGCTTTAGCTTCTCAGTGCTGTGCTTTAACCAGCTGTGCCACCAGGGAGGGCCCAGTATTTGTAATTTGTAAATATAAGTATTGCATTTTATTCAGGAATGTTGACTGGCTACCCTTGATGTGGGTGACTCCTTGCCTGTGGCTTTTTTCTGAAAGGGACCTAGAGCTTCACTCTGTATATGTGTATATTACACTTTCTTCCCATATTATCTAACTTATACAAAATATTCCTCATTACCACTTTATAGTATTGGATTAAAAGATGTTTTGGTCCTACACAGTATACTTTTCAAAATGTTTCATTCATAGCTAAGAGAATCAGCTCTTTGTCCAAAACTTCCTGAATTGTAAGCATAATCAGACTAACAGTACTTGAGTAAAATATAAGTAATGCTATTATTTGTTCTATCAATGGTTTAACATTGAAGTTAAATCAAGTTGATAGATAACATTGAAGTTTAACATATGACTGGATTCTCCCACCTATATTTTAATACAAATGACACCTTTCATATAATCCTGGACTTTCTCTTTCATCTTCACGGAGGTTTGTATGCCATGGCCTCTAACTTGCCTGCCTGTTTCCTGTCTACCTCACAGTGACCTAGTTCTCCCTCTGTCTGTCTCCTCTGTCTCTGATGCTATATCAGACTGTCCATTTAGAGTACCCTGATAAGTAGAGCCCCTGATGTTTTCTCCATTCATTCTTCGCCAATAAAATAATCACTTACTGTTACCTGTTCTCTTTATTCCACTTTAGATGTATTCTCAGCAACAAAATTGATATTGAGTCTTAAATTATAGGTTCAAGGCTCTTCGGTTGTAAACTCTTTCTCTTTGCCTCCTTTTACTTAGGTATGTGTTTGGTTTTGTATTTTTGCACAAAAGTTCTTTGGTAAGAACTTTAGTGCACTTGAACCTCTACCTTATAACTGGGAGAAGAAAAAAAAAAGCTCTGCACATGCAAATAAGAAATCCTGAGAAACTTGTACTAGTAAAACTCTAGCTTCAGATGGACTCTATTGCGTACATTTTTCAGATTAATGGGACATTAGCCAGTTCCAAAAAGGCTTCCACCATACTATCTATTTAACAAAGCTTATCACTTTTGCCTTTTGCTCCTCTTACTTCTCTTTTTTGGTACAACAGAGTGCTCACTATGAGCAGTGCAGTGAGGCCTTGAAACTTATGAAATACCTTTTCATTATCTGAGCTTTTCTTTCTAGCCACTATAACTACCTGTATGACTCATGTTTATCATATAACCAACCCCATGCTGATATGATAGGATACACAGGTATGTTTTATACTTCAGTGTTCCAGAATAGGTTTAAGAGCATGGTTCCACTCTCTGTTGTTTATTTATACATCAGTGAATGATGTGGCCTGTTAGAAGACAGAAGTTCCACATTCTTAGTAAAGGCAAAGTTGCTTTCATTTTTCAAAATGTAAATTTGTTGATTGGCAAAAAGATAATTATTTATGCCCTAGTAAGGGGATTTGAGATGATGAAGAAGATAAGCCCTGTGGTAAGGAAAACGGTGTTTCCTAATTGCATTTATTGAATTGATGCTTTGAGGCATATTAAAAACATTAATTGTATAGCTTGTTAAGAACAGCAATGTGGTCACCCACTGCGTACAGTCAGTGTGTCTCTTATGATAGCTACTTGCTGAATTAGGAGTTGGAGCTCCTAATTAGAAATTTATGAAAAGATTTTCTCTGTTGATATCATGGACAGAGATATCAGCTACCCAAATAGTCCATTTTTATCTATCATTCCTTAAATCTGTTTAATTTTATGTGATGGCTTTCATATAGAGGAGCTTTTTACTTTTCATATGCCAACCTGCAAAGAACTTTGTAGATTCGGATTTTTGTATGTGCCCTGCCATCCTCCATCATTCCTCCTCCCAGGCATTGTTCCTGCAATTCAAGTGAATGCCACTAGGTGGTATTTTCATAGCCATAAAACATTTTCTGAGATCTCGTGATATAACAAAGCTATTCAAGAAACTAGAAATTTTATACACAGCTACACTATTTCTGACATACATAGTCTTACACATCATATTTTGCATTTATTGTTTTAATGCTCAGCAATTTGTTTTCCAGTTTTGACATGGGTCTACAGCTTTCTACTGTCGTCTTTGGAGAGCATTTAAGTTTACCATTTTATATGACAATAAAGTATTATCTCACTTTTCATGAGCAACAAAAGACAGTCATTCATAGTGCCTTTTAAGCCCCCTACCCCCAAATTCAAATTTTGTTCAACAAACTACTACAGTGTGTTTGTTACCCAGTTACCCTGGCCAGAACCTCTAGTATAATGTTGACTAGAAGGATGGCATGCAGACATGCTTTCCTTATCTTGATGTAAAGGGGGAAACTTTCAGTCTTTCACCATTATGCATGATATTAACTGTTGCTTTTCAAAGGAGTCTTTCCTCAAATGAGGAAATTCTCCTGTGTTCTGAGAGTTTTTATCATGATAGGCTATTGAATTTTATGGATTTTGGTCTTCTATCAAGGTGTGTTACATTAATTAATTTTATGATGTTAAACTAATCTTGGATTGCTGGGGTAATCCCCCTTGACCATGATACCTAGGCCTTATCTGCTTGTGGGTTTGGTTTAAGAATTTTTTTTTTAAGATTTATTTATTTATGCATACAGAACTGGGGTACAGGCCAGAGGTGCAGAGGCAGTGAGAGGATTCACCAGAGACAGAGTGGGGAGCAGAACAGGCAGATCTAGGAAGTACAATCCTGAGGGGAGTAGGGAGGGGTGTCGGAGACTCTTTGTCCCCGATCACGGGTTATTGGGGAGCAGAACAGGCAGGGTCTAATCAATCTATCAAGGTTAAAACAGGTACATATAAAAAAAAAACTAAAAGGCATTTTTCTAAATTATGAAAATGAATGAAAGGAGGCCTATAGGAAGAAATTTGACAATGCAACATGAAACAGGTTTCATTTAACTTTCTTTAAAACTTCTTTAAAAGTGCTGTTACTCTGATGGTTGTGACATGTGAAATATTTTATACTTATAGATCCATAAATATCTTGAATTTTAACCTTTTATAAAACCATCACACAATGCTGTTCAATTTTTACTTTATTGCTTAACAGTTTTTCATATGGCATGATCACTCTTCTGGGAAGAAGAGTGAGTCCAGAGTAAGCCAGATAAAACTGCTTTTCACACTATAAAGATGGGATAGATCTAGAAGAATTAGTAAATGGTGGCCCAGAAATTACATCTGATGGTACTCCTGTGAGTTAAGAATGCTTGCTACATCTTTTAAATGATTGAGAGATAAAAATAAAAAAGATTAATAATATCATAAGGAAATGCAAGGGTTTTTGCTCCAAAAAAAAAAAACAAAAAACCAGGTACATAGATTCACAATGTTTAAGACTAACATAACTATATTTACCACAGAGAAGGTTAACCAAAATGAAGTCCCTTAAACATTATCTATTACTTAATGGCTATTATTTCCATAGAGACATCCTAGGGGGTAAAGTAAAGTGAGGGCAGGAAGAGGAAATTTCTTGTAAATCAAATTAAGGTAAGGTTCTTTGAAAAACTTGTTAGAAAGTTTAAATGACTTTCTTGAAGTCTAGCCGGTAGAAAACCTGATTAGCTCTGCATAGGCAACTTGGGTGAATTTCCATATCTAAGGACTACATAGCAGGAAGTTTGAGTGGTTATTTAGAAACTGAATAGAAGGCTTTGTGAGATAGAGTGATAAGATTTGGGTTTTCCTCAGTCTGGCAGTGAGAGAGACTTTGCAGTCAGTAACAGCCATTTGTTTTTATTAATCAGCCAGTTGTTTAATGACTTTTGACTTCAAGAGGAATTTCTCACCCTGGTGCAGTACTTGCTTGTCAGGGCCAGGTAGCACCTCATGAGGCTGAAGCAATCCAATTGTAAGCTGAAGATTGCTCAGAATATTTTGATATTACGATTATACAAAAAAGGGAGGTCTTAACATAAGTTAGCGTGGAAAGTCTGATTTTTCAGAGCATTTCCCCTCCATCCGTATCGTGTCTGTCGACAGAGCTTGCATAGCTTGTGTCAGAGGGGAGACAGGATGGTCTGCTGTACCATGTGGGTCAGCTTCCTGGCTGCGATGGAACTCAGGTCACAGTGGCTGAATATAGCTTGATAGAACCGAGACTTCAAGCCCTGAGACTCCAGGGAGGTCCTATAACAGGATTTGAATCTTTTGGTGGATGCTACATAGGCTACCTTACTCACTTCAGAGAGAATTATAATAAATAGAACTCACATAGGGGTGGTATTGTTTTGGTTGATAACAAAAAAATGCATACATGTACCCCTCTAAAAGCTTATGACCCAAAACTGAATAAAAAATAAACTAATCCAGAAAGATAGAATTCTAGATTTGTAAAAATTTAGACTATATGTGCAAAACATAATAATGTTGCTTTTTCTTTTTAATTTTCTACTTCATATTTTAATATTTTTAATTATAGCTAGTAATTTAACATAGCTGTTTGTTCTTTTAGTCATGGTCCTCTAATATTTGATCCTTAAAAATTCTTTCACAGATATAAATTTGCAGCCATTCAATGGGAATGAACTGAGCTTTGGAAGTAAACATTACTAGCAAAGTATTTATTTTCATTTGTCTAAGAAAAAAGAAAAAGTATGGTTAGTAGGAGCTAATTGTTTTAATCTAGCTCTCCTTATTTCTCCTTCAGGAAGAACTGTAGCTCCTTCAAAACAGAGCCTTCAAGAAATAGGAGTTTCTAACATGTCACCTAAGGTAGTGTGTTTAGATAAATAATAACTACTGAACTTTGTTGCATATGTAGTTAAGCGTAACAAATGACCTTGGCAGAAAAATGCTGAACACTTGAGTACTTTTCTGTCTTCTTTTTTTTTTTTTTAATAATTTTTAATATATATTTTTAAGGATTTATTTATGCATATAAGAATTGGGTACAGGCCAGAGGTACAGAGGTCATGAGAGGTTTCACCAGAGACAGAGGGGAAGTGGAGTAAGCAGATCTTCTGAAATCGGCTGCTGAGGGGAGCTGGGACAGGAGAGGTCTGTTGTGTCACATGAGTCAGTTCCCAGGCCCAGATATCAAGCTCCTGCATCACAGTGCTGCAGCTTAACTCCTTAAGCCACCAGGGAAGCCCCTGCACTTGGATTTAAAAAAAAAAAAAAACAGAAAATCTTTTACGCTTTCATTATTCTTTGTTTAGTTTTGGGATTCAAGAAATCAGGGATTTATAAATACTTGGAGAGTTAAGAGCAAAGCTGTGAGTTATGCATTTGTCTTAACTCACCTTTTCATTTTCTTCTTGTAGTTGGCGTTGTTCATGTTCCTGTCAGTTTTTTTTTTTTTGGAGGAAATTAACTGATCTTTTTTATAATATTAGAAGTCACTTAAAATGGACTATAATTGACTATGATGATGCTACCTGAGTTTTTATAGTTGGTATGGGTGCCTTTAATCTATATGACAAAGAATACTATTGAATACATAAATTGAAATTCAAGTAACTTTTTTTTACTAGCTTTCTTCTAAATTAGATCCCACTGTATTGCACTTTATATTCTCAGGATATATGGACTTCTTTTGAGGATCTATTCTTTCTAAACTTATGAAATGGAATTACTTTAGTCTGTATTTCTTCTCTTAGGAAACAACCAAGGTCGTATCAGATGATGTTCTTATTCCTGAACGTAATAAAAAAGGTAAAAAGAAAATCCTTCTCTGTAAGGCATACTTTAAGAGAATTTAGAGGATGATATATCTAATAAACCTATTAACTAATATGCAGAATAAGGATCAAATTATCATAGATATTGAAGTATCTGCAGTTGTAACTGACACAGTTCTGATGGATAATGCTATTTTTTTTTATATTGAAATCCACTGGCCAGTGAAGAATGAAAGCTCCTTTTGCTTTTATTTTATTACCTTTTAAATGTTTCCTACCAATCTCTGCTGTAGATGATTCTTTAAAAAACTGAAGCATCTTCCTAATTTACTCTGAGGAAGTAAATTAGACATTTAGAGAATTTGGCTCATGAAAAAGTGTTCCTGTGCATCATACATGGAAAACAGTGTTTATATGATTATATAATGATTTCCATTTCTATAACTTTTAAACTGGTTTTAGGTTTATAGTAAGTCAATAGCAACTGATTAATCTAATGACAAGGAAACAGAAATTTGGAAAAGTTTGCCCAACTAAGCTCTCTGGCTGATCTCTTTGGAAAGATGAGAGAATCATAATGCTTCCAGATATCTGCAATGTCATTTGCTCTGTAGAGTGGTGGACACCAGACCTAGTGAAAGTGGAGAGCACATGGCAGGCTTCGGTTTTGGTTCTAACTTTCCAATAGACTCGTGCTTCAATAAGTAAATCCTGGTTCTTTATGCTGGTGGCAACATTTCTTAAAAAGGAAAAGTAACTTATCTTTCTCCCCATTTTACTTCCTAAGGAATACCATTTACATCTTCCATCAGCTTTCAAAACATTCTAGAGGGAACCAAAAATTTCCACAAGGACTTCTTAATTGGAGAAGGGGAGATATTTAAGGTATACAGAATGGAACTCCAAAACCAAGCATATGCCATTAAATTATTTAAACAGGTATGGAATGAATTGCTAACACAAGATACCAGTTCCATGTATTTGCTCATATTTCATTTTAAAATATGTCATTTTCCATCAACATTGAAAGGTGTGTTTGAATATAAAATTTCATAAATGAAAATAAGATATATGACCTAAGTTGACTGGAGAAATTAATGAGAAATGAATGCCCACCTTGCAGGAATGTGGAAGCTAAATCCTTCCCATCCCCAGATGTATTGCATGTATTTTCTGAAAAGCCTTGCAGGACTTCTGAGTCTTTGCTGAAAATGGTCAGATCGTACAAAGGTCTTCTCTAGTTTTGTGGGTTTTTTTTAGATTGGTTTATTTATGCATACAAGAACTGGGGAACAGGACAAAGGTGTAGGAGCTGAGAGGATTCACCAGACACAGAGTGGGGAACAGAACAGGTGGGTTGATAGGATCACACTGTTGAGAGGAGTAGAAGCACCATGTGGGTCATCTCCCTGGCTGGGGATCGAACTCATGCTGCAGTGGCTGCAATAACTTCATAGTGTTGTGCTTTAACCCTTTGCACTACCAGGAAGGCCTTTTCTCCAGTTTTTATGGCTTTTCTTGATGAGCAGTGTCCTCTCTAGGCTGCTTCACCAGTTAACCCACAAATCAGCATGCAGCACTACTTAAACTCGTTTATTATTTATTTATTTATTTATTTATTTATTTTTTATTGTAGTTCAGGAGGTTGGAAAGAAGTGTCTTCAAGTAAGAGCAGCAAGGGCACATCAAGGTTATAGGACAATGGGCCGTAGCTAACTTTGCAGAGAGAGTCTTGGGGGTCCTGCAGTTAGTGAGAGGTTCACACAAAAGAGTTCTTCACTGTTAGTCAGCAGTCAGTAAACATTTACTAAGCTCCTTTTATGAGCCAGCCATGAAGCAAGCAAAGTTAAGCATGACACAGTTCCATTCTCAAGGTGCTTAGTGTCTTATGGAGCAAAGAGCCAGATAAAGAGAACACAGGCAACTATTAATCAGAGACACTCTGCAGGGGAGAGGGAGGGATCAGAACAGGGGAGGAAATATGTTCTTGCACAAGAGACTATGGTGATGGTACATGAGGAAACTGGTGGTAGGGATTTTACAGGGACTACACCTGAGGAGAAAGCATGCAATGTACAAAAAGGAAAAATAATGTAATACATACATGTGTGATGTGTGTATCACTTAAATAAATAAAAACAAAGAAAAGACTAACCTACAAAGTGGAAAGTCCCTTAGCAGAGATTTGCACAATAGGTCATGGGACCACATAAAAGATGGAGTCAAAGGAGAGCACATCCAGATCCCTGAAGAGTGCCTGGTGCAGAGGAACCACACAATAAATGTTTCTAGAATGCATTTATGGAATATGGATAATAGCAAGTACCCTTTCAGCTGGAGTTTGAAGGATGGGGAGAATTTGGCTGGCTGTAAGGGACGGTGCATACTCTTTAGGTGGAAGAAATAGCAAGTGAAAAGACTTAGAGGTGTGTGCATGAAAGTGTAAGTCTTACTCATGGAAAAAAGATCACTCCATGGAGTAGAGGGAAGGTAGTGGCAGAAGATCATACAGGAAAACCAGGTTAAGATTGTGCATGGTTTTTAAGTAGGAGAATGAAAGGGCTAGATTTGCATTTTGGAGATAGAACATTACTTACAAGTTAGATGATGGGCTGGAAGTTGCCAAGTGCATTATAGGAAAAATGACAAAAAGTAGATGCAGGTAGAAAGACCTGGTAGAGGAAATTTCAGATGTGTAGAATAAGATGTGTAAACCAATGATCTCAGCCCTCATACTAGAGTCACCTATGGGACATTTTTTAAGAACAAACTCCTTAGCAATTGGCTAAGCCACAGCAGCTGTGGATGGTTAAGAAGCTCCCTGGGAGGGCCTCCCTGGTGGTGCAAGGGGTTCAGACTCAGCATTATGAAGCTGACCCACACAGCACAGCAGACCTCTCTTGTCTCTCCTTTGCTCCCCTCAGCAGTGGATTTCAGTAGATCTGCCTGTTCTGTTCTCCACTCTGCCTCTGGTGAATCACACCCACACCTCTGGCCTGCACCTCAGCTCTTGTATGCATAAATAAATAAATTTTAAAAAAGAAGCTCCTTAAGTGGTTCAACCACTAAAACCAGGATGCAGACAGTAGGGCTGACAAGGGGTAGACATGTCTATAAGATGAGGTGCCATTGGCCAATCTAGTGCAGGCTGGGGAAGTAGTTGAGAAGGAGAGATATGAGGTGATTCCTACTTTGCCAAGATGGTAGAGCTCTTTTTTTGTTTGTTTTTTTTTTAAAGATTTATTTATTTATGCATACAGAACTGGGGTACAGGCCAGAGGTGCAGGTGAAGTGAGAAGATTCACCAGGGGGGCAGAACAGGCAGATCACAATGAAGTACACTGCTGAGGGGAGCAGCGGGCGCGTCAGGAAAGGTCTGCCGCCTCATGTGGTCACTTCCCGGGCAGGTGGGGATGGAACTCATGCTGAAGTGGCTTTAGCTTCTTAGTGCTGTGCTCTAACCCGCTGCACCACCAGGTAGAGCTTTTTTTTTAAACCATGATTATAACCTGATTTCTTCATTGTCCTGAATTGCATTTTACCCCACTAATTCTGTATAAACATCTCAAAATTTCTGGAAAGACGTACGATCTAATAAAAAATGAGCTGATCTACTGGAAAGACTGTTCCTTGGGAGCAGGGTGTTCTGGCCCCATCTGCCTGTTCTCCTGTGGCTGAATCCTCGCATCATTTCTCAAAGGCTCTTACCATCTATTTCCCTCTTCTTTCTGTATCTGCCAACTCACACTCCCTTTGGGGAGTTTTCTGTCCAAGAGTCTGACTTCAGAATGGTATCATTTCCCCCTAGATCTCTTTCCCTTCCGTCCCAGAGACAATGATCATTTCCTTGAGAGCTTCCGGCCCCCAGTACACTTGTGGGAACCTCCTGAGCGTAGCTACAACACCATCCCAGTATCTGTGATACTGACACCTGCTCCCAGTAGATAGTTTTCTTTAAAGAACATTGTTTATCTTTGCATCCCAGGCTTATGCTATAGGGCCTGGCCCATAACAGCTCCAAATTTTTTTTTTTTTTAAAGATTTATTTATTTATTCATACAGATCTGGGGTACAGGCCAGAGATGCGGAGGGTGAGAGGCTTCACCAGAGACAGAGTGGGGAACAGGAAAGGCAGATGATCAAAGTACACTGCTGAGGGGAGCAGCGGGTGGGTCAGGAGAGGTCTGCCGCGCCATGTGGATCTCCTCCGGGGCAGGCGGGGATCGAACTCATGCGGAAGTGGCTTAAGCTTCTTAGTGCAGTGCTTTAACCCGCTGCGCCACCAGGGAGGGCCACAGCTCCATCTTTTAGTAAGCCCTTCTTTTCAAAATTAATACAAAGGAAACATTAAACCAAAAAATGCAAAGACACAAGTCATACCGGTCTGGTCAGTGAAGTCACCTCTAACCAGAACACAGCCTTCACCAGTTGGATTCTTTGTGAGATCAACTTACTGCGCTTAGAAGAACTGTAGTATTTTGGAATTTATGTTAATGTCTGCAAAATATGATGAATGAGTTTGATGACAACATGATACATAGCATAAAATGCTTTTAATTCAGTAGCAATAGTTCTAAATCTATTTTGGAATTAGTGGAATTTTGAAAATCTGATGAAAGCTAAGGATCCTCTCCCCAGAAAAATGTTCATATGCATTTGTACAAAGAATTTCATCGAATTTCAGGAAGACTGAAATTCCTGAGTTAGGAACTCCAGAAATTGAGATCCTTCCTTTACTTTTCTCCTTATTTTTTTCTGTATGATATTTAGGCGAAAAATGTTCAATGGAAGAAGTTTTTATCTGAGCTTGAAGTTTTATTGCTGTGAGTATATTTTGTCTGGAAGTTCTGCCTTTGTGTCTGATCTTCATTTTTGTTCATCTTTGATTCCATAATACAGTGCTGGGCATTTAATAAATCTGACATTTAATAAATCTGGGTTGGCTATTAGAACACTGGCTAAGTTTTTGACATCTGTTTTAGTCTATTCCTTAGAAAATATTTTAAAACAGACCATTTACATAATTCCCTTGAACATATTTTAACAAGAAGCTGTCACAAGGAAGTGGTTAAATCATGTGTGACTAAAATCGTAGGATATAAAACAATTCTTAGAACATCAGAATTGTATATATTTTACCATTTCCCCCTTCCTTAGAGACATTCCAGTCGAGAAAATGTTTCATCCATAAAACCCTCTTCAGGAAGAGTTTTAGACAAAGAAATCAAGTGCTTTTGATCTGCATATGATTTTCTGGAAATTCATTCATGAGCCTAAGATTCCTTGGAGACAAACTAAAATGACTTCATTTTCATATATATATATTCATATGTGCAGCTGTGCATCCTGCCTCATTGACAGTCCGTAAACCTATAGAGTTCACTCATCACCCTTCACAAATAGAAAATGTTCTTTTCAGATGTTTTCTAAACTTACATGTAAAGGGGGGGAAAGGGTTGGTAAGGAAACATTATACTAAATCCTTCTCCTTTTATACCTAAGATGGAAAGCAAAACATTAGAGGCGAATCATAAAAACTTAATGTGTAGAGTTTGTTCAACAGAAATCTAAAACCAAAATTGTAATAGAGGGCTTGTATTTAAATTTATGGGCAAATAATAAGTTCAAACATTTCAGAATTTCAAAAGTGCATAAGGATAAATCAAAAAAGAGATTTTCTTCCACTACCACCCAACAACCCAGCTGACTTTCACAAAAGCAATGGCATTATTAGTTTTTTGTATGTCTTTTCAAAGATGTTTTACACATCAGCATATATGTATTTTTTTCAACTTCCTTTTCACACAAGAGGTAGCATAAATTTATTATTCACTTTGTTTATTTTAATATTCCACTTTATGCTATGCTGTGATTAATCATTCTCTCTTTACTAATCTTTTAATGTTAAAAACCTAGAATTCTATGAGAAAATCTTATATTTGCTATTTTGTACCTGCTTGAATATATCTAAGATAAATTTCCACAAGTAGTATTATAAGATTCTACTTTCTTGCCAACATAGAATTATAGTTGATTTTCATTTTTGCCAGGTATGAGATAGTAATTGTCTGCTTCTTAATATAGTTTAAATTCTTTTTCTATTTTGAATTAATCTTTTCATAAATTAAAAGTTATTTCCTTTTCTATGAAACATCTGATAACATCCTTTGCCCTTTTTTTTGTTTGTTTTTACTAGATTGTTGACATTTTTCTTAGTGACTTAGGACCATTTTATATATATTAGAGAAAACTAGTCCTATTTTTATGTTACAAGAAACAAATGTTTTATAGATTGTCATTTATCTTTGTTTATTGTAATTTTTTTCTCTTGAGGAAATGGCTTTAATTGTAGCTAAATTTAACCTAAATTGCCTTTTGTGGTTTGTACATCATAGTTTAAAAGGTCTTCCTCACTGAGAAGTTATAGAATAATTCTGTCATTTTCTTGAAGTGCTTTTATGACTCATTTTTAACACATATATGATCCATTTGGATTTATTCTGGTAAGGCATTTATTTATTAATTTAGAGGATATTAACAAAATGATATTAAATATTCCTAGTTGCAATTGTTATCATTTTTGTTGCTGATATCTATTTAGTTTTAGGCCCTACGCAAAGTACTTTGCATGTATTAATTCTTAAGTTCTTACAACAACTTTATGGGATAATTTTTGATCCCAATTTTGGATGAGAAAACGAGAATCTTACCTTTTATTTGCATTTGTAAAAATTCTTTTATTTACTTACATCCATAAGAATTGGGGTGTCGGCTAGATGTATAGGGATGAGAAGATTCACCAGAGACTGAGTGGGGAGCAGAACAGGTGAACTGACTGATATCCACTGCTGAGGGGAGCAGCAGGCAGATCAGGTGAGGTCTGCTGTGCCATATGGTTAGCTCCCTGGCTGGGTATCAGACCCATCCCCCTAGGCTGGCAATAGCTTGATAGTGCTGAGACTTTACCCCCATGCCACCAGGATGTCCTCTACCTTTTATTTTTTAAGATCCAACTCATTTCCTAAATCTTTTTCAGTCCCCCCCTCTCAGCCATTTGATAGTGAATGTCAGAAAGAGCCTATTTCTTAGAGCATACTGTCTGAAATGGGATTAGTAGAGTCAAGCATAAGTAAATCAGCATTTTTAATAAGAATACAAGCTTTAGCTGTGGGAGTGGTGCCTACTACGGTACCTGACATAATACTCATAAATGATGCATGACCAGTATTCTGAATTCTTGTTTTGGTGCCTTTACTTACACATGTATATCTAAAGCAATGAGATGAATAATTTCAGTTGCATATTCTTTATTGATTGATTGAGTAAATTTGTGCTGGTAAAAATAAATTCATATCAAATTGTGTTTCTATTTTTTTGCATAATTCCCAACACCCCAGATCTTAAGAAATCTTTACTCTCTTAAATTTTCTGTCCTACATTTGGTTATTTTATTTACATCTTCATGATCACAGTCGATGAAATATTGATGAGTGTTTGTTAGAGACTAATTTGAAAGACATTTCTGTGTCGTGTATCCAGTGAAATTATTTTTCCTTTGGCCAAATCTATATTTGACTTTAGACCTATTCTGCACCCAACCAGAATGTTGTTTATCCCCCATTTGAATAAACAGTTTGATGGATTTAAAAATCTTTTGCTTCAAGGTTTCGTCATCCAAACATAATAGAGTTGGCTGCATATTTTACAGAGACTGAAAAGTTCTGTCTGGTGTATCCATATATGAGGAATGGATCACTCTTTGACAGGCTACAGTGTGTAGTAAGTCATATCTGTTTTTTCTGCCACATACTCTGACCTTCTGAGCCCTATGGGAGTGGAGAACACCTTCTGAGAGCTAGAAACTAATGCAGATTCACAAGAAGGGTTAGAAAGTGGGTTTCCCAAAAAGGTAGAGGACTTCTCCATAAGCTGGTTTCTTTCAGAAGGCCTGCAAAAAACACCCACACAGATTTGCTAGATTCTTCTAATTGGTTTCTTATCTCAGTTTTTTTACATCAATTCTTTCTATTGCCCAGATAATTTTTACTTGCATAACTTTACAATAGTACCTTTCAATACCAAAGAGAGGTAAAAAGGTGATACAGATCCCCTAGAAAGGAGATTGAATAAATGCCATGATTTCTTATGTTTTTGAAAGATATATTTGGAAATTGTCCCCAAATATGTTAAATTTCAGTTAGCATGACAATAGAAACAAATTAGTCTCAATTACACATACTACTGTGCCAGAAATAATTTTTAAAATCTTATTCAACCAATTTCTATACATATTAAAAATATTTTGATTAAGCTAAAGTTATTGGACATTTCCATTGTTTATGAAGAAGGTCAGAACCATTCTCAACAGTAGTAGCAACCCTATTCTGAATTTAAAACAGGTTACAGTAAATCAAAATGTTGCTTTATCCACCTCATTTCACTTCATCATTAGTTTCTATCCTGGTATACTTCTAAGTAATCGATGTATGTATGGTTTTACTCAGAAAGTGCAACCAAGCTAACTACTATTGTTTTCTAGGATAAAACAACTCCACTCTCTTGGCAAATACGAATCAATGTATTAATAGGAGCATCCAAAGCTGTTCAGTACTTGCACAACATGGAACCATGCTCAGTCATCTGTGGCAGTATATCAAGGTAAATTATCCTGAAGCTTCAGGTTTCATCTACAGATCACTTTAGTCAACACAGGTGAATCAGACTTCACACTATTTACTGTATGTAGTTTCTCTGATACTATGTGTATAAATTAGCTTTCATCTAAATAATTTAATATCTTGCCTTTTTTTAATGAAAGTGTGTATTTTAAATTCAAACAGCTACATTTATGGCTGCCAAAAGGAAAGTTTATCTTATCTTTGAGGATTATTATTATTATTTTTTAATCTTTAAATATTTACTTATTTACTTATGCATATAGGATTGGGGCACAGTTCAGAGGTGCGTGGGCGGTGAGAGGATTCACCAGAGACAGAGCAGAGATCAGAACAGGCAGATTGACAAAGTACACTGCTGAGGGGAGCAGCGGGTCAGGAGAGATCTCCTGCACCATGTGGGTCACCTCTGGGGCTGGGGATTGAACTCATGCTGCAGTGGCTGCAGCCAGCTTTGTAGTACTGTGCTCTAGTCCATTGCACCATTAGGGAGGCCTATTAATATTTTTTATGCAGGCATACAAGAACTGGAATATAGGCCAGAGGTGAGGGGAGTGGGATGGGAGGGTTTACCAGAGAGTGGGTAACAGAACATGCAGATCTGCTGAAATCCACTGCTGAGGGGAGTAGCAGGCACTAGGGACTGAATTTGTGCTGCAGTGGCTGGCAACAGCTTAATAGTGCTGAGACTTAACCCCTTGCATCACCAGGGAGGCCCCCACCTTTGAGGGTTGTTAATGAACAATATAAGATAGGCAGTTCTGTTATCTTATTAATTAAACCCGTTAGCAAGCTGTGAAATGAACCTATACTGATCTCACTTTTTTTTTAATCTGAGGTTTAAAGAAAGGTTAAGTGACTTAAGTGAAGATTCGTAGCAAGATAACAATACTAAATGGCAATTAGATTTCTTTGCCCTTGAGTCTCCAGTGTCGTCTTGATTCTACTGAGCCAGCTGCCTCTTAGCTTTGTATATTAATCTGTGACAAGCTAAGCAGAAATTCTTTTGTTCATTATTGAGACCTGAGAAAATCAGAAGAAACATCTTCTATCTTTCTTCAGTAGACATAAGGACATAAAGAATCATTCAGCAATTATTCACTGCCCTGGAGCAACCTCACCCTCAGTGAATTTTGCCTGTAGCCTTTTATCAGGACCTGTCCAAAAGTAGGGAAATATACTTCTGCTGAATAGCAGGGAAGACTGAATTTTAAAGGCTGCTGTCTTTCCTGACCCAGTCTCCTAGGATATTGAAAAAAGCTTTTAGTGTGCTTTTGAGCTGACAGAAGAGAGGCTGATTGCTTACTTCTTTGTTTCTCCAGTGAAATGACCTCCACATGGAAAGACTAGATTTTTACTTAGTGGGGAGAACTCCCTGGACCTGTGTGCTCCTGATGCAGTGTGTGTTCATCAACTACTAGTGCACCACAGCATCAGCATAAAATGGGCACACCACACAGGACCTGGGTCACAGACCCAGTAAAGACCTCAAGGCTCAGTGGAGTTAGCCACTGTGGTCAGATCCAGAGGGATTTATGGCTACCCCACCCCTAAAACTATCCCGTTCCACCGAGCTTGCAACCAGTTCAGCAGAGTAGGTTCTCAAATGCATGTTTCACCTGAGTAACTATACCTATCCATCATACATAAAATCTGCAATTTTGTGGTTGATGCTCTTCTTTGATTTAAACTCTAAGGTTAGACCCTGGTGGCACAATGGGTTAGGATGCAGCACTGCAAGCTAGCAGCAGCCTCTTCAGTGCAAGTTCTATCCCCAGCCCTGGAGGTGACCCACATGGCATTGCAGACCTCTCCTGACCCACCCGCTGCTCCCCACAGCAGTGTACTTCGTCAGTCGGTCTGTTCTGCTCCCTGCTCTGTCGCTGGTGAATCCTCTCACTGCCCCTGCACTTCTGGCTTGTACCCCAGTTCTGTATGCATAAATAAATTAATCTTTAATAAATAAATAAATAAACTCTAAGATAGCATGAGTTTAAGTCCCAAGCAATAACATATTCATTATATAAGGTTTTTTGGGTGTTTTGACCAGGCTTATTCAATCCTTTCAAAAAAGCACTGTGATAAGAAAGAGAGGCAGAAAGTGTCAGATTCTAGTGCTTCATGGAAGAGGGGTCAAGGACAGCCACCACCCAGAGAAGGGAAGCGCCAGGCAGAAGAGCCAGGCCACACTGTGTTCCCCAGGTTTTCCAGAGCTAACACTACAGGAGATTTGGCTGTGTCTCTCCTACATCTCGGTCCTGGGAACAGGTCAGGCAACAGGCTGAGGCCCTGATTTCTGCTTTCCTGCTTAGTGTGTTCAGGCAGGTTCCCAGGCTCAGAAGCAGAGATCTGCCTCCAGGAGATTTTGTAGGAGTGCCCTCTGGACCAGCAAATGTAAGGGAGGAGAGAAGGAAAGGAAGGCAGAGTCGCGCAGTTGGAGAATTGAGCTGGGGTATTGTAACAGACGCCTCAACTGATGCCAGGCGGAGCACTGAGCTGGGGTGGCTTCAGAGACAGCTGAAGGTGAGACAAGATGCTCGGGTTTTTTCACCCCCACCCCACCAGCCTTGAGTGGGGCTATCACTTGTTGACACAGCAGTGCCAGGTTGGGCTTAGCGGTGAGCAATTTGCAGGCAGCCTTTCTGGTCTGGGGTAGCAGTGTTGCTGGCTTAGAGGGATCCAGGCCGCACCACTGCAGCCACCACAGCAAGACAGGGAGATCCGGCTGGCTGGCACTCTGCAAAAGGTAACCAACCAGATGATGTCCCTTCTTCCGTTCCTTTCCTGCTTCCTACCCTTCTTACTTCGGCGCCCACTATTAATTAAATCAGAGATCTAACTTAAACTGACTTTCCATTTCATATGTTTCTGAGCAAATTGCTTACCTTCTATAGTCCCCAGTTTTTCCCTCTGTAAAAATTACTAATAAAAAATGACAACCTCTCTCTCTCTCTGGGTTAAATGGCAGAGGGTTTGCATGGTGCTTAGCAAAGAATTCTCACTCATCAATGGTAGCTCCTGTTACAATTGGTGAAGAAGCAGTAAGAGTAGCAGTGACAGAGGCTAAAATGTGCTGGCCAATCAGTCTCTTTGCTTCTCCCTTTGGGCTGCTGTAACAAAAACTATGAAATGGGTAGCTTATAAACACTATGCATTTACATCCACAGTTGTAAAGACCAGGAAGCCCAAGATCATGGTGCCTACCCATTCTGTGTCTGCTGGGGGCCTGTTTTCTGATTCCTACATTACTGTCTTTCCTCTGTGTCCTCACATAGAGGATGGGGTGAGGGAATCTCTGTTTGGCATCTTTCACACTGATTCCACTCATGCAGACCTCTCACACCTTAGTCACCCTACAAAGGCCTCAACTCCCAATACATAAGTGTAGGGACTAAGACTTCAACATATGACTTTGGAGTATGAGGAGACAGAACAATTCTCTAACATTTACCTCCATGATCAATTTATTGTGTTTGAAAAGTGGAACTATAAACTAAGCTTTATTTTAAGAAGAATCATTTCTTTATTAACATGTTTATTGAAACCTATTTTGAAAATCACATTGATTTCAGTTCACAAATAATTGTGGAATATCCCTGGTGCACAGAGCATTGTATTAGCCAAAAGGAGGGAAAGATTTGGACTGTCAGTGCCTTATCCTTGAAGACTTCATCTGGTGATCAGAGATGTAACACAAAGCAGAAAGTATATTATGCAACAGTGAATATGCCCAAGGCATGACTGGTCTCAAAAGAATTCTTCTAAGTAGATTGTTCCAAGCAAAGTCTTCGAGGAGATGGGTTATGGCATTGGATTGGTTGAGAGAAAGGGAGAGAAGATTCCTGGTTTAGGTGATAGTTTAAGGGAACAGAGTAAAGAATTGCCAAGTGTAACAAAAGAAGACAGGTTGGTTGACTGAACAGGAAAAGATAAGGTTGGAAATAAAGCAAAATGAGAATGCGGAGGAGTAAGGGTTGTGGTGGGTAGGGTGTTGGCTATCATCTTGACTGTTTACTAGGCTAAAGACCCAGGTTTCATAAATTAAGCAGTCAAGAGAGACTCTCAAACTTTTCTGGGGTAGAAGTGGAAATAAAAAGGTTCTAGAGTCTCTTAGTTTTCCTTCCAATGGAAAGCCAGTTCTTTTAGGCCAACATCCCAGGGTACTTTGGATGTGACAAACTATAAAATCATTTAATTAACACACTGAACAAAATGCCTAACAGGTGATGCAGATACAGAATAACAAGAGATCTGATCAGAGAGAGAACTTCACAGAAATGCAGGATTTAAACTGAAAATGCAACTCAATATTTTTTTTTAAATAGTACCAAAGTGGTTACTCAAGACTATTTTCTTTTTGGGTTTCCCAAAGGGTTCAAAGACATAACCGTCTATAGCATGCACCCACCCAGGAGACTTTGGGTGTGCAGCCTCAGGGCTCTGAGAATTTATTTGAGAACTATGGTTTCCCAAGGGCTTATTAGTGTGTCCCGTCTGTCCCAGAACAAATCAGACCTTTTCATAACCACGGAACTCTGGGCCTTTCTCCTGAGCCTGCCAACAGAGATATTAATTAGTGCCAACTATAACAGTAAATGTTCCCTCTTCCTTTCCTTTGGTGATGTGTACACCTGTTCCCTTGAAACTGGAATGAGACCAACTCATTTATTCAGGGCACTGAACATCTGTCAGATGTTGATGGCATTCATTCCCCAGCAGTCTTGGTGAGCCATGAATTGGCTGACCCAGGTTACCTTCCTGAATTTATGTTAAATGAATCCTTCACTTCACTCTAAATTTGGGCCTCCCTGAGACTCAGATACTCTATGCACTGTGTAGTGCTTTTAGGAAGATCTAAAATCCCTACTGCTTGGCCTGTATTGTATTAATTTTCTAAATCTTTGTGAGGAAAGGCAGTTTCTTTTAATTTATTGTAAAACCCTGAAAACTGGTTCAAAAATGACATCTCAAAATGTGTTAATG